GCTCTTCGTATAATGCATGCTATATAGCCATAATAACTTACGAATTATACAAATGAGGAAATCCTCGACTTATGCAATGCACACAAATGGTGGAGCATTTATAACTAATTAGTTCGGAATATTAGCCCTAATACTGGACGGTAGCAGCATGAAAACGCTTTATCAGAGAAAGTGCTGTGTGCTCACTTTGCGATCGCTCCTGCTGCTTATTGTAGAACTCATCGAGGAGTGTATCCAGGCAAAACTGGGGAAATTGAAGTGCTCAAGGAGCTCTTAAATTCTCATTTTCCCGCTTCGAATCCGTGGTCAACTTTATTTGTGGTCTCGGCTCCCGCGAAGCTCGAAGCGTTCACGCTCACAAAGTCTCTGTTCAGAGAGAATATGAGTTGCACTCACAATCCGCGTAGTACCCATCGCCGAACTTTGTCGGATTCTCTCTGGAAAAATTTTCGTACCGAGCGAGCGAAAATGATGACATGGGCCAGTTGTAACTTGAACGGGACACCGAAGTGGTGGCATGGGCCATCATTGCATCGCCTTGATAAGAAAACTTCGATCGAGTTCAGTGATTGGTACCAGACGCTCCTAGTGCTCCTTGAACACTTAAATTTTCCCAATTTTGCAAGCATAAGCAATTGACGCGGCCCATTTTCTTCAAAAGAACAGAGCAATTCAAATCCACGCGTTAACCAAAATCAAACAACACCATTCTTAGTTTTCCGACACGCCGAAAACGATGGTTGCTATGCCGATTTACGAAATTTCCAAATAAGTCAGAAAACTGAAAAAATCAGGGGGTGGCATATACAATTGACGCGCACTGTATTAGCATGAATGTATCAATTATCACTGTGACGAAGCTCATCAAAGTATTGTAAGAGTGATGATATCACTATTCCTCACGTTTATCGACATGAAGAAAGCTTTTGATTCTGTGGAGTCAGAAGCTGGCATAACCTTGGGCATTCAGCACATTACTGCTCGGTTCAAGAGTGTTGTTTGTGTTTTTCATGCTCTGATTCACGAACTGCTACAAAATCGCAAATCGAAGCGGAAGTAACATTTGCTTTGCAAATTACACTTCCTTGTCGTTGCCACATGCGGTCAGAATGGACGGATCTTCTTTGCTTAGGAGACTACAGTCTGGAGAAGATTCTCGTTTAGGAAGAGCATAGGTGTCGAACTTGGAGTGGCTGCGCTCTCTTGTTAAGTCAATCCTCACAGGATAACCTTCTAAGTGAAGATTATACCCTGATGTTTCATATGCACATTTCATTTCGCTCCTTTGTAGAAGGGTTGAAGCTCTGACAAAGCCTTCCTTGAGAGCTGACCACTGATAATAGGAGTGCGACACGAGTCTGGTATATAAGTTGCTTTCTAATCCAACCGTATGCATTGAACAAAATCGCTACAGCAGTTGAGGTGCAGGTTTCGTGAAAAGAAGCTTCACTGGCTGGATCAAGTAGAAAAGACTAAAAAATGGATAAGTTCACCATGGAGCCACGCTCCGCTTCTGTTTGAGGCAACACATGAAACCACTCTTCGTTAGAGCTATGAAGTCAGTCAAGTCTAGCGTGATCAACGGCAGAGACTCACGGCGAAACTCCAGCAACTGTCCTCAAAACTCAAAAAAGTATGTCCGCTCCACGACAACCGAGACCACACATTTCGATAATGAAGCGATTCTGAATATCGAAGCCCAGCTGAAAAGGCCTACCACATTCATCGTGCAGCGGTAGTCATTCTCTTTCGAAAGACATCTGCCCTTTCTGCTCAGCCGCCTTCTTGACGACAAAAAATACGATTCCCATTAGCACCTCAAAATCGACCTCACTGCCTTTTTCAGCTCGTAACTGCCAGCCTTCTGAAAGTTAGGCGGTCACTCTTCGGTTGATTGTTGGCAAAAAGTATTGAAGACAGATACTGCTTGTGTTTGCAATAAACTGGGCTCAAAAAGAAGTTGAAAATTCGCCCGAACTTTCGAGACAACCTGATAATTGGTGAATGTGGAACTGTTATTGTGACATCACCCA